AGCACTTACTGCTGGTGTGGGCCCAGTGACTAATCAGATACATGTAGAAGGTTTACAAGACTGGCTCTGCATGTAGTCACTGGTCCTCGTCAGCATAATGTACTAAAACAAGTTCACACCAGGAAGCAGTTCCTTGCCCAAAATGCAACAAAGCTTTTCCTATTGTATCTACTTCCTGTATTCTATAAAACACTAACATACAGTATGCCTCACTTTATAGAGCGGACATTACATTACCCATCAGCCCTCTAGCCTTTTAACTACCTCCCGTCCAGCCATTGTATATAAAACGGCCATTATTACCCATCAGCCCTCTAGCCTTTTAACCACCTCCCGTCCAGCCGTTGTATATAAATGGCCAGACGGTGGCAGTGCAGGGTTGGATGGCAGTTTATAAACGATCTCCCGCCCCCTGCTTGTGCGCGCTCCCTGGGAGCGCACAGTGCCCGCTGTGTCCTCCGGACACAGTGGAACACCGATCGTCGTACGGGACCTCTATGCGAGGTCCTGATCATGTGATCACCGATTGGCCAATCGGTGATCACATGCAGAGTAGCAAGCAAGATGTCACTTCTGACAATTTGCTTACTATGTGTGAAATCTGTGAATGATCACAGAGGTCACATGGTACAGGGCTATTCACAACAGCCTTATACCATGTGACAAGTTGTGACCAAGAATGCAGCCAGAGAGAAAGAGAAATGATTGCTTTTACAGCCTTTTTTGGGTGTGAAAGCAATCAGTGTAAAAAAAAAAAAAATATATATATCACCCCCCACAAGTAGTCCAGTGTCTCCATGGTGACAGTATGAAAAAAATATAAAAAACAAAATAAAAATGTAAAAAAAAGTTTAAAAATTATAATTTTTAGTTATAAACTAATTTGGGTTATTTATTTTTTTTGCTAAAAAGATAAAAAACGGAATAAATTTTGGCCAAGATTTATGATGAAATTTTTTTTGCAAAATTTTATAAGAAAAACTTTCTAAATTTTTGGACTTTCATTTACATAGCAAAAATAAAAAAAAATCCCAGTGGTGAAAAAATACCAAAAAATAATGCTTTATGTTTCTAAAAAATGCTAAAAAATTCATATGGGTACAGTGTTGCATGACCGCGCAATTGTCATTCAAAGTGTGATAGCGCTGAAAGCTGAAAAATAGCCTGGGCAGGAAGGGGGTAAAAGTGTCCGGACATGAAGTGGTTAAGGAGTGTACACAATCTAGTGTGCTCCACCAGAAAATCCTGAAGACGAATGTCCGCCCATCAGCTAGTGACCATAAGCTCAAGAACACTTGGGTTATGTAGCAGGATAATGATCCTAAACACACCAGCAAGTCCATTTCTGAATGGCTAAAAAAAAGCAACCATTAAGGTTTTGGAGTGGCCTCATCAAAGTCAGGACATAAATGTGATTGACGTGCTCAGCATATCCTTAAACAGGCCGTTCATGCTGGAAAACCCTCCAATGTGGGTGAATGAGATTAATTCTGCAAAAAGCGGGCCCAAAATTCCTCCACAGCGATGTGAAAGACTTGCCGGTTATTGCAAACGCCTGATTGCAGTTGTTGCCGCCAAGGGTGGCACAACCAGTTAACAGCTTTATGAGGCAATTACTTTTTCACATAGGGCCAGGCAGGTCTGGACAGCTTTTTTCCCTTAATAAATTAAATCATTTAAAAAAAATGCATGTTATTTTTATTTCATTTTAAAATTTGTTTGTTTGATGATCTGAATCATTTGAGTGTGACAAATTTAAAATAAAATTAAAAACTAATATATATATATATATATATATATATATATATATATATATATATATATATATATAGTCAGGTCCATAAATATTGGGACATCAACACAATTCTAAACATTTTTGGCTCTATACACCACCAAAATGGATTTGAAATGAAACGAACAAGATGTACTTTAACTGCAGACTGTCAGCTTTAATTTGAGGGTATTTTACATCCAAATCAGGTGAACGGTGTAGGAATTACAACAGTTTGCATATGTGCCTCCCATTTGTTAAGGGACCAAAAGTAATGGGACAGAATAGTAATCATAAATCAAACTTTCACTTTTTAATACTTGCTTGCAAATCTTTTGCAGTCAATTACAGCCTGAAGTCTGGAACACATAGACATCACCAGACGCTGGGTTTCATCCCTGGTGATGCTCTGCCAGGCTCTACTGCAACTGTCTTCAGTTCCTGCTTGTTCTTGGGGCATTTTCCTTCAGCTTTGTCTTCAGCAAGTGAAATTCATGCTCAATCGGATTCAGGTCAGGTGATTGACTTGGCCATTGCATAACATTCCACTTATTTCCCTTAAAAACCTCTTTGGTTGCTTTTGCAGTATGCTTTGGGTCATTGTCCATCTGCACTGTGAAGCGGCGTCCAATGAGTTGTGAAGCATTTGGCTGAATATGAGCAGATAATATTCCCGAAACACTTCAGAATTCATCCGGCTGCTTTTGTCAGCAGTCACATCATCAATAAATACAAGAGAACCAGTTCCATTGGCAGCCATACATGCCCACACGCCATGACACTACCACCACCATGCTTCACTGATGAGGTGGTATGCTTAGGATCATGAGCAGTTCCTTTCCTTCTCCATACTCTTCTCTTCCCATCACTCTGGTACAAGTTGATCTTGGTCTCATCTGTCCATAGGATGTTGTTCCAGAACTGTGAACACTTTTTTAGATGTCGTTTTTAGATGGCAAACTCTAATCTGGCCTTCCTGTGTTTTTGAGGCTCACCAATGGTTTCCATCTTGTGGTGAACCCTCTGTATTCACTCTGGTGAAGTGTTCTCTTGATTGGTGACTTTGACACACATACACCTACCTCCTGGAGAGTGTTCTTAATCTGGCCAACTGTTGTGAAGGGTGTTTTTCTTCACCAGGGAAAGAATTCTCTTCGGTCATCCACCACAGTTGTTTTCCGTGTCTTCCGGGTCTTTTGGTGTTGCTGAGCTCACTCACCGGTGCGTTCCTTCTTATTAAAAATGTTCCAAACAGTTGTTTTGGCCACGCCTAATGTTTTTGCTATCTCTCTGATGGGTTTGTTTTGTTTTTTCAGCCCTAATGATGGCTTCACTGATAGTGACAGCTCTTTGGATCTCATCTTGAGAGTTGACAGCAACAGATTCCAAATGCAAATAGCACACTTGAAATGAACTATGGACCTTTTATCTGCTCATTGTAATTGGGATAATGAGGGAATAACACACACCTGGCCATGGAACAGCTGAGAAGCCAACTGTCCCATTACTTTTGGTCCCTTAACAAGTGGGAGGCACATATGCAAACTGTTGTAATTCCTACACCGTTCACCTGATTTGGATGTAAATACCCTCAAATTAAAGCTGACAGTCTGCAGTTAAAGCACATCTTGTTCATTTCATTTCAAATCCATTGTGGTGGTGTATAGAGCCAAAAATGTTAGAATTGTGTCGATGTCCCAATATTTATGGACCTGACTGTATGTATATGTATATGTATATGTATATATATATATATATATATATATATATATATATATAAAATTATCAGGAAGGGGCAAATACTTTTTCACAGCACTGTATATGTAAGCTGGGGAGGTCCAAATTTAAAATTTGCTTTGCTCTATGTGGGTAAAGAACAGGTTCACATTTCTGCATAGGATTGTGGCTACGAAAAGCAAGGTTAGAGAATTGCATTATTGATTATAGTTAGGGGAGAATTCACACATGCCTAGATACGATGCAAATCCAACACCTACGTAAAAACCAAGTGATGTTTTGTCTGAACATTAACCTCCCTGGCAGTATTCCCGAGTGTAGCTGTTGTTGTTTTCAACCCATTTCACATACATTTTATCCCGAGTGCTTTGTGTTCCGGTCCCTGTGCCCTGCTGCATTTTGCCCTGCCTGCATTTTTACTGTTATTTCTGCCTGGAAAAACTGAGAAATGTCCATGGAGTCCAAAAAGCGTCCCTTTAGGTCAAAAGTGGTTTTAAACCGGCTAGAGAACAGCGATAGTAAATCAGAACCACTTGCAGAATTGAGTGATAATGATTCGTGGGGGAAATTCGTCATCAGACACTGAAAACGATTTTGCGACTTTGCTCAGCGATGTGCGAACTTGGCGCTATATTTCAAATTTCAGTGTTTTTGGTTTGATTATATTATTGAATTAAATGTATTATTATTATTATATTATTGTTTATGATTATTAAATTATAATTTATGATTTCGTGTTTCAAGTTTTATCCTACCCGGGATGTTTAATAGACTCTTGTTCGGACAGATTTCAGTGAGTTATTCCTAAAAATTACAGGCCTACAATAAAAAACTACATATTTCCATGCAAAATAATGGTACCGCTTTCAGCACCAAAAATCTGAAATAATCATACCGCCAGGGAGGTTAAAGCCTCTCCCAGCAGGATCCCAACCAAGGAACCAATAAAACTGGATAATGCATTTGGAACAGCATTGAAGCAAAAGCTTTGCTTGTCTGTATGGAACCATTCAGCTCATAACAACCTCTCACCCTGGTAGGCAGGAGAAGGGAGGCTTGGAGAGAATATTGCAAGCCATACATGGGTCAAATTCTGAACAAATTTTCTTTAGAAATTCTGAAATTTCGTTTTGTAATTCGATGGCGTCACCACTGATTTCAAAATTCAACCAACCCTTCAATTTCACACATTGCTACAGAAAAGAATTTGTGGGCTTCTTCTCTTTCCAGGTCACAGCTCGCTTCATTTCTTTTTTGATTAGATTTCTTGCACAATTCTCCCATCATTGATTAGCAATCCATTTGTTTTAAAAACATTTCCAACATGCCCAATTACTCAAATTCGATGGTTGCATAAAAAATCAGCCGATGCTGCGGCCTACTAATGGTGCAAAATTCAAAAGCAAATTCTTAGTTATGATTTTTGAACGAAAATTCTTCCGGAATTTGTCCCATGTATGGCCTGCTCTAGGAGTGCTGTGGACATCCTCACCTGAGTATGATTGATTGCTATGTGGTTTCCCTGGAGAGGCGATGGACTGTCTTTATCTTTGATGTGACGAGTGTTGTTCTTGGTCCGCTGTAACTGCTGTCTTAGTTTGGCGATCTGTTAAAGAAAAAAAAAAAAAAAAAAAAATACATTTGTACAAATTTTTAGCCCGTATGAAATTTTGGTGGGGATTCAGGAAAATTGGCAGCTGATCAATTACTAAAAAAGCCAATCTATTCAGTCTTAAAAGCCAGCAACAACGACCAATGAAAGGAAACTAGGAGACAAATGTAAGGGGCAATCGACTTCTCCTGAAACTATAATTGGGCTCCTATGCTGATCCAATGGCTTCAATAGTTCCAGAACCACTGACATGGAGCAAACATAAAAGTTAAACTTTATGATAACACTCAACATATAAAAACATCACCTAATTCCTGACTGGTACATCCTTCCCCACCTAGTTACACCTCTCTCCCCCCCCCCCTTTCCTCCATCCCCCCTACCAATAACCCCCCTAACATCCCAACCCCTCACCAAAAAGTTTTTCATTCATATATAAATACCTCTGATGATATAGCTAATTAAGACCATATCATCAGTGCCTCAAAAGTGAAATAACTACACTGCTCAAATGTACAATGTTTATTGTATTGTATTATGATATGAATGAATGTTTTATTTCCTTGTTCTCCTTTTCTTTGAAAATCCTAATAAAAATATTTAAAAAAAAAAAAGTTAAACTTTACTCTGACATGACTGAATCCATGCTTATTCCAGGTCAGGGGCTCAGAAAGCATTAAAATAAAGATCATACTAAAATGAACAACATGGACAACAAAATGTACATATCCCATGGCTCAGGACAACTATGCTTTAAACAGCATCCCATTCCTCCCCAGAAACCTAGCTGTCGCCCCACGCCCTCCCTAAACTTGCCATACAGGGTTCAAATTTTGAAGGTTCCTGGGAATTGGCAGAAATTAGGGATGTGGGCAACCCTGCTGACATTAACTGCATTAAACTTTTACCAAAGCAAATTGAAAAAAAAAAAAAAAAAAAAAAAAAAAAGTTGGCTGAACAGTGATAGCAGCCATTGAGCTGCAGTCACTAACAAGGTAATCTGACAGCCACAGGTACCCGCTGTTAGAATACGATACCGGACAGTGGAAAATTTCTTCATCCGCATATTTTAGCATGCATGAGGGAATTTGTGGATTTAAATGTGTAGCGTCAACATAATTTAGCAACCCCCCCCCCCCCCCCTTTTTTAAACCATCACAGAACATCAGGTGTCCCCAAGCAGGATTGGCAGCGTTCTTGCATGCCTGTAGGGAGAAGGGTTTTCCTTTAGGGTCCACAGAGAAAGGCTGTAATTGGCAGCACTACACAGATTTAAAAGCTCAGATAAGGAAAAGGATACCTCCCTCCTGACCTAGTGAGTGCAGGCAACAGATTCTGGATTGGGAAGCTTGCTGATGCAATGTATGCAAAAGGGGATATAGGTAGAGGATGAGTTTTTAAGATTAAATAAAATACTTCATTTTGTAGGTCAAAAAGTAAAACAGGACTGCATTTTAAGTTTTGGTAAAAAATGTTTTTACATGACTCTGTGCACAGCCAGAGGAAACAAGCATGCTGTAGGTAAAGCGCATGTGAATAAACGGCTTCTATGATTTAAAGGGCACCTTCAATTTCATGGGGGATAAAAAATACAAAACTAAAAAAAATAAAAAATTTCTTTAATAAAAAAAAAATTATTTTATATATATATATAATATATTAATATATATATTTATTTAATATATATATATATATATATATATATATTAATATATATATTAATATATATAATATGGGGGATAATATAAAATATATACAATTAATATATAATACAATATATTTATATAATAATATTATATATATTAAATATAAAATATATAATAATATTATATATATATATAAAATAAAATATATATTATATATTTATATTTTTATATATATTTTATATATATATATATATATATATAAATATATATTTTTTTTTTTTTTTTTTTTTTTTTTTTTTCCCCTACGATTGGGACACAAGTCACAATGTGAAATATTTAAATAGCCCTTTCCTTTTCAATCTGCAGCGCTGTAATCTTCTGTAAAATGCAGTAATGCAATATGGCAACCACGAGGCAATCCGTACACAGATGTTGTACAGAACCCCCCCCAAGAATTTTGTGAGTGGCTTACGCTTACCGATTTCCCCAGAAGTCTGCACTGTCAGATTTTTGGCATCCCTTGCAACAAGATGTCATTTTTGATGAGATACTCTCAAAGGGAAATCACACCTAAAGGGATGCAGGCCCTGCCACTTTTCTCATTAGAGCTGTGCAAGTGCAGCAGCTGATAAATATAAAACCGCTCCCATACAGATTCACTCTGCCCATGGACACAGACACACAAACAGCATGTACACAGATCACTCAGATCACTCAGAGGGGAGTGTTGTCTTCTCAATAAATGTGGAGTTAACTAACTGAAAGGACATAAAAACTCAAAAAACGGATTAAACTTGTCGACATTACAGGAACAAGTGCAACATCATATTTGGTTTATGTGTAGACACATTAAGTTTCAAAAGTATAATCTGTAAAGCCTGTCCATGATTTAGAAGTGCACACACCTCTACTGACTTTTTTTTTTTTTTTTTTTTTTTTTTTAACTCTAATCCATTTATACTCTATCCAGCAAACTGTACAAAAAAAAGAAATGTTACCTCTACATTCAATTTTACCACCTTATATAGCACAACCATATCCCATGCGCTAGTCTTCCAGACAAATAGTTCTTGGTAGGGATGCACCAAAATTTCAGCCACCAAAACATATCGAACGAAAATAGCTTTAATTGGCAAAAAACGTAGCCGATACAGGAGACTGTGTGTACTGCAGATGGGAGGGGGGAGAAAGGCAGGAGAGGAGCAGTGTATACAGTGACTGGCTGTCACTATATGTGTCAGTTTTAAAGTGTAATTACCGGCTAATTTTTTTTCTTCACTATAGCTTACAGAATCAGCTGTCACTTTCTCCCCAGCTAAATGAAACAAAGTTTCCTTTTAGTTTCTTTCCTGAGATAAAAGAAACAAAAAAAAGTTTCTTGCATTTAAAAACCAGCTCTGGCATATATTGACCACCAGTGAGGGAGCCCCTCTGTATACACTGCTCCCTCACTGTATACACTGCTCCTCTCCTGCCCCCCCCCCACCCCCTCCCCCCTGCAAAGATGGCCTGCCACTCATATGCTATCACTTAGGGGACTATTGCTCCCCTATGTGATAGCAATAAAATCAGAAGTTAAAAAACAATTAAAATATACATGAAAGTTGAGAAAAATACAAAAAAAAAAAAAAAAAAAATTGGAGCCTCCCCACTCCCACATACAGACATTTCGGTTTGGTTTTTGGCCACATGCATTCTGAATTTTTGGTATGGGTTTCAGAACACCACTAGTTCTTGGCATGAAGATCTTCACCAATAAAGTGTATGACTGGGTCAAATAAGAATTTTGCTCTCCGTACAAACATCCTAGGATACCATTGAGGGACACATGCAGTCTTTAACCTCCAAGCTGTACTGCCAACTACAGGGGATTGGACACAGCTGCTAAGGGACACAGAAGTCTTACCTTCATAACATCCAAAAGTAGTCCAACTGAGGTGTGGTCAACACAGCTAACAAATACTAACAAGTCCAAGAAAAAACAGAACTGGGGAATGACTACAGCTAAAATGAGCCACAGAGGCTGTCTGGCATCAGATAAGGCCACAAAGTCCAGCAGGTAGAACTTCGAAACCAGATGGCAACCTTGCAAATATGGGAAATTGCTGTTTGATGCCGACAAGTCCAAGAAGCACTCACAGATCTCTAATGGGTTCAGAGGTTTCTGAAGTGAAGAAAAAAACAGATTTAGATCCAATGAAGCCTGGTGAATGTGGAAGCAGACGCTCTACACGGACCTGTGTGCAGGACTAGACCCAGATACTCCAAACATCGAGTTAGATTCAGCAACAATTTGTGAAGGTTCAGAATCCATCAGAACTGTTATGGTGTTTGATAGTTAAGGGAACAATGTCTGATAGTGTCCAGACCAACTGTTCACTCAAGAAGAGGTCATCTAAACAGCCTAAAATGGGGCCTGCACCAAGGTGAACATCTGAGAGACAAACCAATAGTATAAGGGCCCCACAGTAAACCAAACAATGCGATGCAAAGATAGGGACATGTAGGAAAGCATCTCTGACAACCACAGAAGTCAAAGTTTTCCTGTAACGGGAGGAAATGACAGACCAGGTGGATACCAAGCAGAATTTCTGGGCTCACATTTTGAGCGCTGAGATCCAAGATGAGGCAGATGCCTCATCTGAGTTTGGGAACTGGTGAACAGGTTGGAGTATACCTCCTGAAACCATTCCAGTGGTCCAGAAGACACAAGAGGGCTTAATGGTGATCTGCTAATTTGTGTAGTGACATAGGAAATGTTGGCAGGTGAAAAATAGAAAAGGATGTATTGAGCAAAGCTCCAGCATGTATCCCTGGAATGCCACCACCTGCACAAAACATGTAGGGGATGTAAAGTGTTCAAGTCCCCAATAACTTTAACCTACACAGTTTGGGTGTCACATGCAGACAAGTGGATTGTGTTTAAAAAAAAAAAAAAAAAAGGGGGAGGAGATAACCCTGAAAACTTTTTCTGTTATCTATCCATTTGTATGGATATAGCTTCTCTGGTGTGCTTTATGCCTGGATCTCCTCCCCATTTCAGTGAATGTGTTACATGGTACTTAAGAGTCTGCATCTGTCTAGTTATATGACCAGTGGGGTGATATACGACGCATGTACTACTTTGTATTGTCTTTAGATATTGCTTTCTTTCATAAAAATGTATGGAAATTGAAACAGCCATTTGGAATGCAGCCTATTTATCGTATTAAAGACTTCCTGTGTCTCTCAATAGTTCAAAAAAAATAAAAAAGATAAAAAGCAAGCTAGCATATTTCACCATATTTAACCCTTAGAAAATGCTGCCAATACATAAAAATACGTAGTGTTCACACAAGAAGGTGAGCT